CTAAGTAAAATCCCGAAAATTCCGAAGTGTAGTTTGGTAACGAAACACCAAATACACGTCCGGATATAATATGCTAGATCAAGCAAAATGACTAAGTGAAATCCCGAAAATCCCGAAGTGTATTTCGGTAACGAAACACCGAATGCACGTCGGAATATAATATACTAGATCAAGCAAAATAACTAAGTAAATCCTAAAGTGTATTGTCACTTAATGAATGTGTTTGTCTTCGGTATACCATGTATAAGACTTTTTTCACTATACATTCGGCGGAATATATAGCCTCCATTAACCATCTCTCTACTATTCCAGTGCCCATTTGTTAGCGACCTGGGAAACCGCAAGGTAAGAGGTGACTGCAAATTCTCTTTTTTCTTTTTGCATTTTCTTCAAAAGTCGGCAAAAATTCGTTCACAACAGTTCTTGCACAATTGGTGGATGACGTCGTGTGACCAGCCAAGTACCAAATCCCAATTTCTCTAGACGACCGCAACCTTGTCCCATCTGAAAATGTACAGCAGTGTGACGTGAACCATGCAAAAAACATCAAATCGGTCTTTCTCAAATCCGCATATTTTGCGGATTTGGGGTCACCGTGTGAGTATGCCCTTACTCTGGACTCTGGACTCTCGTGAGCATTCTTGACTGTCGAACAGACACTACACGACAGGGCAGCGACGATTTGTCCACCGAGACCGGAGACCGACTCTCGAATTTGCAAACCGCATGAAGGGACCAGTCGGCCTCGTTTGAAAAAAACGCTCCTGCAGGCGAAAACTGTGGAAATTTCAAGAGCTTGTCCGATGGGTTATTTCTGACACTTCTTGAAGCGCTGGACCAAGTGCAGTTTTTCACAGTTAGTGTAGCGATGAGTCAGGGCCTCGCTGCACTACTCTCGAAATGTGCAGAACGAGAGTAAATCTTCCGCTAGAACAAGGAAAGATACATCACCATGATTTTTGTCTTTTGTGTGTTTCTGGAGTAGTGGAGCGACGCCCTCACTCTCGACGTTTTCAAGAGTGAATATGTAAGGTCTTGAATAGAAATCCAGGACGCGGCATCAAAAGTTAGTGCAGTGGTGATGAACTCTTGATTTTTCAAGATTCAAGAGTAGTGCAGCGAGGCCCTTACTCCGGACTCTCGGCTCTCGTGAGCGTTCTTGACTGTTTGACAGAAGGTCGAGAAACTGAAAATACACTACACGACAGGGCAGCGACGATTTTGTCCACTGAGACTGGAGGTCAACTCTCGAATTTGCAAACCGCAGGAAGGGTCTGGTCGGCCTCGTTTGAAAAAAATGCCCCTGCAGGCGGGAATTGTGGAAGCTTCAAGAGCTCGTCCGAAGGGCCGTTTCTGACACCTCTTGAAGCGCCGTATCAAGAGCACTTTTCCACAGTTAGTGCAACCACGACTCACTCTCGACGTTTTCGAGAGTGAATCTGATAGCTCTTGAATGGAAATTCAACACCCGGCGTCAGGGCATACTCACAGGGGGACCTATAATCCCAAAATCCCTCGAAAAAGGGGAAAAGGCCGGTCACACGGATCTACCAAATTCGCAAATGTACTATTCCAGTACCCATATGTCAGCGGCCTGGGAAGCCGCGGGGCAAGGGATTTTGCAGTCACCTCTGGAGGTGACCGCAAGTGCCCTTTTTTTTTTGCATTTTCTTTAAAAATTGGCAAAAAATCTTTCACAAAAGTTCTTGCACAATTTGTGGATGTCCCCGTGTGACCAGCCAAGTACCAAATCCCCATTTCTCCAGACGGGCGCAACCTTGTCCCATCTGAAAAGGTACAGCAGTGTGACGTGAACCATGCCCAAAACCTCAAATCGGCCCTTCCCAAATCCGCATATTTTGCGGATATGGGGTCGCCGTGTGAGTATGCCCTTAGTGCAGCGGTGATGAACTCTTGATTTCTCAAAATTCAAGAGTGCAGCGAGGCCCAAACATTAGGGCATACTCACACTAGCGGGTTTTCTCGCTAAATGGCAAAATCTGCTATGCTGTTAGAGTCACACTAGGGTTTTCTGACCACCAAAATTGCAAATGGGGTAGCATTTGTCAGCGGCCTGGGGGGCCGCGGGGATGGGCATTTTGCCACCACCTCGAGAGGTGGTAGCAAATTCTCTTTTGGCCGTCGCAAATACTCTTTAGCCTTTTGGGAATTGTTAAAAAAAAATTTCCACGCTTTGTGACCATGATAGGCAGCAATTTTGCAATTGCCAGAGAGTCCCGCTCGTGTCCTTTGTGATTTGCAACCCATGTGTGACCGGGCGGGGTACTATTTCAGCAAACACGGGAAAGAAAATTCAGCAGATTTTGCTAGATTGCCACCGCTGTGTGGGTACGCCCTTAGTCCATCCCTCCCTCACGCCAACTCACCAAAAATTCGCAGAGAAGTCGATGGCGCAGCCGAGGACTGTCGAAAGCATCGGAGGGCCTCGCCACACCACTGTCGACAACGAAAAACGTTCATTCAAATGCATGTTCCCACAGAAAGTGGCAAGATGCATTTGAATAGCCGTTCCTATGAATAGCACGAACCCCTCCTGCTACTCTGATCTGACAACTTGTTGCGAAATTTTCTTCGCGTCTCCAATTTCGACAGCCGAAAATTTTTTCGCGTCTCCAATTTCGACAGCCTCTGTGGCGGCAAGAGAAAGGGCCTCGCCACACCACTCTCCAATTGTGAAAAAGACAAAAATGTAGCGGGTGCATCTGGCCATGTTTTCGCGGGAAGCTCATTCTCATTTTGCGCATTTCGAGAGTGGTGTGGCGATGCCCAAACTATCGAAAATCGTGTCGTGTTTTTCGACAGTGGTGTGGCGAGGCCCTCTGTCTTTCTTGTCATCATACTCGCCGACCGATGGTCTGTACACCTCTCTCTACCTCCGCTGCTCCTCTCGTCGTTGGTTGCGGTCAGGGGACGATCCGACCCTTGTCGAGATATCCACGATCAGATGTTACCGGTGATTTTTCTTCGTTTTTCTTTTCTGAATAGATGGACCATTTCTCGATTTATGGGTGTCATCCTGGAGGAGGGGCATTTATGTAATGTATCGTTCCATTTTTTCGACGGATGCCCCGCGGGGGTCTCGCGATATTTCAGCAAAAGCCCGTGTCCTCGAGGGACTAGCAACGTCACCTGTCCCTTCATTCTCGCGCTGCTGCCACTCTCTCCTGTGGTCTATCTGTTCTGTGTTTGGTTAATTCTCTCTACCCAGGTGCAAGGAGAGTCGGCATCAAAGACCAGCAGACGGAGGACATGAAGACGAAGACGAAGACGAAGACGAAGAAGGACAAGACGACGAAGAAGAAGTAGACACCTGTCCCTTCATTCTTGCGCTGCTGCCACTCTCTGCTGTGGTCTCTCCGTTCTTTGTTTGGTTAATTCTCTCCACTCAGGTGCAAGGAGAGTAGGCATCAAAGACACGCAGACGAAGACGAAGAAGAAGAAGGAGACCAAGTCGAAGACCAAGACGAAGAAGGAGAACAACAACAAAAAAGAAAGAAAAAAAAAAAAGACTTCCGGTGCTGGAAGAGGGAGGTGGGGGTGCATCTTTTTTTTTTTTGAACAGCACAGCGAGAGATCGAAGATGAAGAGGGACAAGTTGCCGGTGTCGACCAGCAGTGCAGCGGCTTTGCTGCGGCGAAGTGTGGCTATTGTATCGCTGGCTGCTATCATGGAGAGAGCAGATGAGGCACTCATTCCTGCTGTCTATCGTGAGGTGGCAGTTGCGTTCAACGTCTCTCCTAGTCAATTGGGTTTTCTCACGTTCGTTCGCGCTTTTGTCCAGGCGGCGTCTTCGCCTTTTGCAGGGGTTTTGGCTTCTCGGTACGATCGAGGACTTGTCATTGCTCTCGGGACGTTATCATGGGCCTTATCCACGCTAGCAGTGGGTCTGGCCAGTTCTTATGCTCAGTGTGTTTTTTGGCGTGCAGTGAATGGAGTAGGATTGTCCATCGTCGTGCCCGCGATTCAGTCTTTTATCGCTGATAGCCATGTCGAGAGCGCACGTGGTGCGGCTTTTGGATGGCTAGGAATGATCAGCTCAGGGGGTTCCGTTGTTGGGGGTATGGCTGCGACCTATCTTGCAGGGTTTGTCTTTTTTGGCTTGCCGGGATGGAGGTGCGGTTTTATGTTGATGGCCGTCCTTAGCTCGATCGTTGCGTGGTTGGTTCATGTGTTCGTCGTAGACCCTCGCTCTGTGCAGTCGTCGTCGTCTTCCATGGGGGGGGGGGATCTCATTAGGAAGCCCAATGTGAGGGGTGGGGGGGGGGGGGGGGGGTCGATTGGCAGCTGGCTTACGAGTGGCAAAGCGTGGGCTGGGGCCAGACAGGTTGTCCGGGTCCCGACCTTCCAGCTCATCATCGCCCAAGGCGTGATCGGCTCGATCCCGTGGATGGCGATGGTGTTCCTCACCTTCTGGTTGGAATTGATTGGATTCTCCCATGGTCAAACAGCGATGCTTCAGGGAACTTTCGCCGTGGCGTGCGGGTTCGGATCGTTCATCGGCGGATCCGTTGGTGATCGTGCCGCCGCGATGACTCCGCTAGGACGCATCTATTGCGCGCAGTTCTCCGCCGGGATGGGCGTGCCTTTCTCCGTTTTGCTCTTTTGCCTCTTGCCCCGATCTACTGATTACTTCTTTGTCTTCCAGTTCGTGTTCATTTTGATGGGATTGACTGTGAGCTGGAATGCGGCGTGTGCCAACAACCCCATATTCTCTGAGGTCGTGCCGATTCATTTGAGAACGATGATCTATGCCATGGACCGAGCGTTCGAGGGGGCAGTGTCGGCCATAGCCGCACCTATGGTGGGGCTCATTTCTGAGAAAGTGTTCGGCTTCAAGCAAGAAAGGACGGTCGGCGATGACGATGCCGCGAATGCCACGGCTTTGTCGAATGGTCTGGTCGTGGGAATGGCAATCCCGTGGCTGCTGTGCTCGATGACGTACGTTGGACTCTATTGGACGTACAGGAGAGACAAGGAAAGAGCGGCGGTTCAGTGGGCGGAATACGCAGTTACACCATCCACGGACAGGGGAGAGAGAGAGGATCATCATGTGGAGGAAGAGGGAGGGCTTCTTCTTCAAGTAGATGATGGGCAGGTTCCATTATCGCCCGTCATAGAGCTTGTCCCGTCGAGAAGACGAGACTAATTAGAGGGGTCTTGGGATAATCGGTAGTGATCGTACGCAGGTAGAAGTGGAGGCGGGAGAATGAGACAGAAATTTCTGTTTTTTTCTCCTTTCTTTCTTTTTTTAACATCAATCGAAGGGCCGCTATCCACTTGATGGTGAGAGAACCGTCAGGATTGGGGCCGTGCCTAGTGATGGATCAGATCATAGCAATTAATGATAGCCGAACTATCAACTGCCCTGCAAAACAAAAATAGAAAACGACGAGTACGTTTTCTTTTTGTTTTTCTTCCTTCGTTTTTTTCTTTAGGATGGGCGGGCCTATCTCCCTCTCTCCTCTCCCTCCCTATCTCTCTCTCGTCTAGAGAGAGAGAGAGAGAGAGAGAGAGAGAGAGAGAGAGAGAGAGAGAGAGAGAGAGAGAGAGAGAGTACGTTTTCTTTTTGTTTTTCTTCCTTCGTTTTTTTCTTTAGGAAGGGCGGGCCTATCTCCCTCTCTCCTCTCCCTCCCTCTCTCTCTCTCTCTCTAAGAAGAGAGAGAGAGAGAGAGAGAGAGAGAGAGAGAGAGAGAGAGAGAGAGAGAGAGAGAGAGAGAGAATTCTGAGCGATCCCCCCCCTAGGGTGAAGGCCTTAAGGTTTCATAGATGAACTGACCTGGCCCAGGTAATTCATCCTGGGCCTGAGCATCGGGAATCGAACTTAGGTCTGTTTATCAACAGTCCGCGTGGGTGTACCATTTGGCCACATGGGCTTGGTACGTTTCCGACGCGGTGACTTTTCAGCAATCTTTGAGTTCCCTTGCCTTCCACGTCTCATCTTGTTGCTTTCCGTCATTTCACGTCGGCATTCGAAGTCACGGCTGGTCATCAACAGTTCATGCGTGTACTATATTCAGCCACATAGGCTTGGTGATTTTTGTTTTCATCGAGGGGTGTTTAACGATTCAGTCTCTCTCTCTCTCTCTCTCTCTCTCTCTCTCTCTCTCTCTCTCTCTCTCTCTCTCTCTCTCTGTGTGTGTGTGTGTGTGTGTGTGTGTCTCGATCTGTTTCGTCTATTCATCCATCCGACCGTCTGTCTGTCTGTCTCTCTCTCTCTCTCTCTCTCTCTATCTATCTATCTATCTATCTATCTCTATCTCTATCTCTCTCTCTCTATCTGTGTGTGTGTGTGTGTGTGTGTGTGTGTGTGTGTGTGTGTGTGTGTGTGTGTGTGTGTGTGTCTC